TGTCATCAAAAGAGTAAAGAAGATAATAATCTTCTTAGAAGAAATAAATAGACAGAGGAAAATGAGAGGCTCAGGAAATTACAAGGCAAAAGAGACAATACAATTCTATAAAGGTATTTTAGAACTCCAGAATTGTTTTACTCCAAGATCCGAATGGTTCTACTCCATTAAGGATGAGCAGGGCAACCTACTTCATGGCATAGATTAAGTTTTGGGTAAATGGTAGAGATACTTAGAGGAAGTGATAGGAGTGTAATAAAAGACCTACTACCCGATATGCACAAGAGTCCACTTAGAGAAAGAACTGGTAGAAGAAGGTAATCACCTGAAATAGAAAAGATAATTAAAATTTTCTCGGGTCTTAGAAATAATAAGGAACCGGTATGAGATGGCGCATGCAGAAATGTTTATGTATGCTGGAGAGAACAAGTAAGGAGGACAACATCTGGGAAGATGTGCACCAGATTATTTTTGATGAGTGAAATTTCGAAATTCATGAATTAACTAAAGACTGGATTCATGAATGAGCCTTAAAATATTTATTTATTGTAACATTTAGATTGTCGAGGAGAAGGACGAAGTTTTCCTCGAAACGTTCAAATAAATTTGCAATCAAGTACTAATTTTTGATTAATTTATTTCTGACCAATAGGCAAATGAACCACTATAAAAATAACAAAGGTGAAACAAGCATAATAAAAAATATAGTTTTTATTGGGGCGGCATTCCATCCAAGAACCTGCCGTGATTGACGTCGGTTATCTTTTATTACCAGTTGCAGGTGTCTTAACCCGCTCGGCTAATAATATGAGTAAAAATTATAAATCAATATTTATTGTTTAATACAACTCATTTTTCAATTAAATAGTCAATGATAAAAGCGCCAGATGTGTACTTACTTTTTTAAGGTAAATTATTTTTCTCATTTTGTAGCCCTTTGGCCCCTCGCTCCTCTCCCCTGGACCCGCTACCGCATTCCTCTGCAATCATTATCAATTTGGGAATGGAGTAGCTCAGTGGTAGGGTACTGAGCTTCCAATACTTTTTTTTCGATGTAAATTTTTATTTTTTTTATTTAGACATATAATATTCTGTCACGGGGACAATAATTATATTGATAAATGAACACATTTACACCGTATATACAAACAAATAATTAAAAAAAGTAAAATAATAATAAATAAAAACTATATACAATAAAAAAATTAAATAACCTAAATATAAGTAAATTAAAAACATAAAAATACAATCATACCTATATACAATATATACAATCAGGCGGGGAACTCAAATCCTTGCGCTACTCTCTCAACCGCCTCACTGGTGCTAAAGCCGGTGGAGTTTGAGCGAGAGCGCTTTAATCACATACACTCATGTCTTGAGTGGAGAATCTGGCCATTGCCAGAACACCGAAATAAATACTATAAAAGATCTCTGGGCCACTGCCGCTTCAACCTTCGAGGAGGGTTGTAGGGATGAGTGAAACTAGATAGGGATTGGGCTAGGGGATTTGGATGATTGATAAGGTTCTGATGGAATTTTGAAAAATTTTCAGGGATAAGGTCAAGGACAAATGGGATATTAAGGTCATGATGTAGGGTTTTGTTGGTTACATAGAACATAGCATCGACTATTGTTCGGAGGACTTTGGATTGAAAGAATTGGATGCGTTTGATGTTAGAGAATTTTGCTGTCCCCCAAAGTTCAAGTCCGTAGGTCCAAATGGGTTTCAGGATTGTCTTGTAGATCAGTAATTTGTTGTCAATTGAAAGTTGAGATTTTCTGGTCAGTAGTCTGTATAATTGGCCGTATCGTCGGTTGAGTTCTTGTCTTTTAAGTCTAGTATGTGGGTTCCACGTTAGTCTTCGGTCTAAGATAAAGCCAAGATACCGGACTGTGTCTGAAAAAGGAAGCTGGATGGAATTAAAGTGGACTGATGGACAGGATCTGCGGCGGAGTGTGAAGGTAATGTGTTTGCATTTGGATTCGTTTACTTTGATGCGCCATTTATTACACCAGTGCTCAATCATGGAGAGGTGCTTTTGAAGATTTAAAGATGCTATTTCGGGATCTGAGTTGGATGATAGGATAGCGGTGTCATTAACAAATGTTGCCAGGAAGGTATTGGGATGGACAGGGGTGTCGGCGGTAAAAAGGATATAAAGGACGGGGCCCAAGACGCTACCTTGAGGAACACCGTCTTCAACTGGGTAGGAGTTGGAAAATTCTGAACCACAGCGAACCCGAAAGGTACGATGAGAGAGGTAGGAGCGGAGGATTAAGTACAAGGACTGGGGTAGATAGGTTTTTAGCTTGGAAAGAAGCCCGGCGTGCCATATCCGGTCCAGTCAAAAGCTTGAGCTATGTCCAGAAAAGCACTCGAGCAATATAGCTTGCTTTCCAGTGCTGCGGAAATATGATCGACCACTCGGAGTCCTTGTTGGACTGTGGAGTGTTGTGAACGAAATCCGAACTGATGGGAAGAAAGATTTTGGGATTCTATAAAAGGTAGAATTCGTTTCAGGAGGATCTTTTCAAAGATTTTGGAGAGGATTGGAAGTAGGCTAATTGGTCTAACAACATTCGCATTCCAAAGGAGAATGGACATGGGTTTTGGGATGTGAGTCATTAAGGATTTTTTAAAGGAGGGATGAGGTGAGATACGAGATTTGTAAGGAGTGATATGAGTGGAGTAATTAGGGATTTGAAATTGGTGAGGAAAGATGCTAACAAACTGGTGAGATCTGTTGCATTTGAAGGAGAAGGAATAGGAGGAATTTGAGGTTGTTGATGATTATGTGTGTTAGGATGAACAGAATATTGAGGTTGGGGCTGAGGTAGTTGCTGCGGTAGGGCTTCACATGTATTATTTGGGTTCTTACCTCCAAGTAGTTCGGAATATGATAAATTATTAATAATAATTCTAGAAGGTTCTCTTCTTGGTCTGGTTGTTTCATCTTGAATCCGGTTCTTCTGGATTTGAGGCTCTTATAGGTTTGGCAGCCTTTGTAGTTGGCCGGATGTCCTTCCTGGCATAGTGCACACACTGCAGGATCTTGTATCGGTTTGGTGCACTCCACAGATTTGTGCTGTTCACCGCATTTCACGCAACGCGGCAGATGGTTACAATATGTTTTCGTGTGGCCATACGCCTGGCAATTGTGGCACTGCACAATTTCCTTCTTGGGGTATGGCTTCTCTATCTTCACGATAGTGTAGTACAATCTCTTGATATCATATATTTTCTCAATACCAGGTGATGGCTCTAGATCCACGAAAAATAAAGGTAGTGAAACTTTATTACTTACTCCTGGCTGCTCCTTATTCTCCTTCAAAACGTTGGTTACCTGGGGCACTTTGAAATCAAGCGTTGCTAGTTCTTCTTTTATCAATTCAGTTGAGGTTGAGGAGTGTAAATTTCTTACCACTACTCTTAGCGATCTCTCTTGTTTCAGATGGTACATGTGGAAATTTGCATTCGTTTCTGACAGGTACTTCACAATTTTTCGGCAGGTTTCTGCAGTATATGGTGTTATTTTTGTATCGTTGGTCCTGTTGAGGCAAGAATGACTGCCGGAGCAGATTTCGTTTAGTTGTGTACACAGTAGTTGGAAATTTTCTGATATTTTTTACAAATATCGGAGGAGGCCTTGGTTCTCTGGGTATTGCTGCTGACTTAATTACTTCTCTGTCATTATGAAGCACTTGGAATGGGTTTGGAGTAAATAAAGAAGGTTCTTCAACCATTTCTTGCGAAGAGGTACCTGGTTGAGGCTGAGGTTCTGGACCTGAAGTTTTCAATGTGGTTATTGGAGCTATTTCTCGCAGGCAGCGACGAGTTCTTTGTTTCGCTGGTGAATCACGAGGGATACTAACACCGTCTGACCGAGTCCTCTTAGTGGGCAGCTTACTGGACATCACTTGCTGGTAATGCCGCATATCATAAGAGAAAAAAATAATTAAAATTAAAAAAAAAAATGTAGCAAACAGTAAATAACAACTGCTGTGGTGTACACTATATTCAGTAAATAATCAAAGAAATTCCGCTGAAAAATATGCAAAAACTGAGAGAAGATTTCAAAACACGACCTTCCTCCAATACTAAAGGTAGAAGGTTCGAATCCCGGCTCATGGCAGAAAAATTATTTATTCTGTTTCATTGGCCGTTAGGCGACCCTGGATCGGGATACTCTCCTGGGGGCACACCCTCTATAAAGTGGGTACCCGTAATTAAATAATTAATTAAGGGGAAAAACCTGGCAGTTGAGCGTGATCTTGGTCAAATCGTCACCTTGCACAACCGTTGCCCTAGAAACAGTGCTTTCCCTAAATAGTACTGGACTCTTCATGGGTTGTAGTGGTACAGGTTTTTTTTTTTTTACTTATTATATATGCTTGAAAATAACTTTTAAAAAACACAATTGAATATATAACGTGATTGAATATATGATAGGATTTCGATGTATGAATATTATAAATTAAATGAAATAGGAGATTTTTGTAAGTTTTTATGTTTAAATTAGACAATTTTGGATTTTTACTACACGATTTTGCCCATTTTGAGTTTTTTGCTTCACGTTTTCGGATTTTGAATGTACGAAGATCCGGTCTCTAAGGTAAGTGAAAGTAAGAAAAAACATGAACGATTTTTTTAAAAGTATATTTCACTGTTCATGTATGCCAGTATTAAACATTTTACTAACATAACAGATTCGGGCAAATATAATACTCAACTTACCCAACTATTATTGACGACTGTCACTAGATAAAAAAAAGATCGATTGTGGGTATTTTGAAGGTTTTCGGTGAGAGGGAAACGTGTCAGAATAATGGAATCATGTACCTAACCTTGACCCTAAAATATAACACCGGACCAATAGGAAATAAGTTTCTATATGTTTCCTGTTATGTAATTGGATGGGCTTTTTATCATCAGTGCATTGGAAAGGTTACTCATTTATGGAACTGTATAAATAGTTTCTTAACTGAGGTTGATGGCTGTTTGACTTCAGTTTTGGCTTAGCATGGAACCGTACCAGTTGATCTTATCTATGTCGCTAGTTCCGATTGTGGTGAGGGCACTGATAAATATTAAGTATATTAGTAAATGTTCATAAAGAAAAAAGTGTTCTTTTACATCCATGTTTTGTTTAATATTGTTATAAGTGTCGTTTGTGAAAGTGAGTAGAAGTTTGCAGAAATGTGCCAGGACATGACGAGTACACCATGTACCAGCAATAATAAGGAGTGTCTTTGAGATACAGGAATATTTATTATTATTAACATACTTTGCACTAGACACATATTCTGGTTTTAACGAATCCAACACATTCATCTGCAATCATTATCACCTTTAAATTAATTGCTATAAATGCATTCCGTTGTACCTCGGGATCGCGCAGGATAAATAAAGTGTACAGTTCATTATCAAAACCTAAAATAAAATAAAAAATAAATACGATTATTCAAGAAAACAAAATGATACTAAGCTGCGTTTCTAGCATCTCTGAGTTACAATATAACCCAAAGCCTCAGAAAGGTAAATAAAAGGCATAATGAAATAAGTATTTAAACCATTACAATATACAATAAATGCATGACTCAACATATTATAAAAAAACCTACATTTAATATGGCTTTGGAGCAATGGAGGTTTCAGAAATTACATTTGGCAAATTACGTTTTTGTATAAATAAATGTCACCAATTTGACTACCATTTTCCGTATTATTGATACGTATATTACAATTACAATGATGAGCTGGAAATATATCATAATAAAATAAATAATTAAAACAACAATTCAACATTAATATTGGTTTTCATTATTATTATATGTTGTTTTTTTTTAAGTTCCTATTTTATTTCATTTATCAAAAATTAAATTAAAATAATGATGAGGATGTCGTGATTCCTTTTTTTATTAATTTTTTTTATAATTTCAGTAAGCTAGCCAAAAAAATTGATAACTACTGATTTAGAGAATGGATGGTAATATATATTCAATCATTCGCTTATTACTATTTTAAAATTCTCTTTTTAGTCGTATTTTTCCTGAAAATGATTGATTATCCATCCTACCGAAGTTCAAAGAATTAGCCATCATCTGAATAGATAAAACTCTGAACAAGGAATTATTAGATTCCAGAAGCTTTGATTTTTCTCTGGGAATTAGAAAACTATTATACTATGCACTTATAGTTATACACCTTCCAGAAATTATTTCTGACGAAATTAAACCAGAGCGGTCAAAAACTCCTTGTTCAACTCTCCTTTGTTTGAATCCGAATGGAAGATAGGGAGGCCTTTCGGGCTGAAGCCCCCCCAAAATGGTAATTTATAACCTTGTTTTATGGAAAAAAATATTAAAAAATTATCTCTTAAAGTATTATTGTTAGTGTAATTACATTTAAAAGGACTTAAGGAATCACTTAAACACCATTTCATATAGATAGTTAGTTTCTTTCTTTTTTTCCAAACTAATTATCATAATTTTTATGAGAAAAAAACTTTCGGGCTGAAGCCTTCCCCCCCAAAAAAAAATTAAATCCTGGATCCGCTAGTGCTTGCCTGATACTACATATCCTACATAAATTGTTGAGTGCTTGGTTATTTTATCATCATCTTGGTTATGAATTTCTTTTTCTTTGGCAATCTCTAATCAAGAACTATTTTTGGCTTATTCTACAGCCAAGTCAATTTGATTGATTTCTTTTACTAATATATTCTTCACTATCCTTGATATTCTTTTATTTCATGTATTCCGAGCAGTTTTTTTTCATTTTTTTATTCGTACCTGCACAGATACTCTTCAAAAAAATAAGAGAAATATGACCTTAGTGATATTGCTCAGCTTCTCACAATTTCAATGTTTTAATAAATTTTTAACAGGTTTATTCTCATGTGGTTAGATATCTTATGTAAATTTTTCAAAGTAACAGTATTATAAATAATCCATATTGTTATTTACATTCGGTTCTCGCCTTCCTCTGTTCATAAAATACTATCACTTACCCAATCTTATGTCCTGTATTCTTTAGTAATTTTTTTTATTACTATTCATAATAGTATTTTATCATACAAAGATAGACGGTCTACCTATAAATTGGGTTCTTTATTGTTTTGATGAAGTTTGTATTAAGTCAATGAGCAATAATATTCTTGGTGAAAGCTTTGAAACACCCGGTAGTTCTTTTTAAATTTATAAATATATATACACACTCACAACTTTTTTAAAAGTTTATTTCATTTTTAGGCAAAATATTGGGAAAATCAAAATATATCTGTACTAAATAAATAAAATCATTTTTAGCAATGAAGATATCTTAAATCGAAAAACATTTTTTTTTATTTATTTCCCACGTTGTTGACCAGCGTGAGTGTTTTCGGAGTCGTTGTTAGTGTCGAAGTTATCAATAGGTATTTTTTGTTGATAGATCAATTATAAAAAGTATTTTATTCAAGTATTAGTTGATTATTAAGTAAAAGATAAATAAACTCAGAAATTATATTAAGTATACGTCTTATTTTAACATTCTCAATCATTTTATTTATGTAGATGTGATACAAATTAAATTATTTAAATTGTATACCAAAATTTGTATTTGACATTAGGTGCATTAAAACAAAAAAGTGTATTTGGTATTTAGTGATTCGACATGTGTACAATACATATATATAGAATAGAATAGAATAGAATAGAATAGAAAATAATTTTATTCTGGGACGAAGTCCCTTCAAAATAACAAAAAATTTACAAAATTAAAATGTTTTATCTGGACAAATAAAAACAAACATAAAAATTAAAAGTAAAGCTAAATCAGTAAAGAATATATTAGTTTTACATACTATATACAAAAAAAAATCTATATACAAAACTCTTGAAACCTTGCCAAGACACTTAAAACTGTACAATTGTAAAATATAAATATATATTATTAGAAAAAAAAAAAGTCGAATCTGCTAATAAGTATTTCAGTTATGAGCTATATGTAAATAAATTATTATGAGTAATATGTAATTTTTCATAAACGGTTAGCGGGTATCTGACTGTTTTTGTGACAGGAATTGGAATAGGATATATGTATATCCTATCATTAATTCATATATATATATATATATATATATATATATATATATATATATATATATATATATATCAGAATTGTTCATAAATATGATGCAAACAAAATTTAAATTAATTCATAGATAAAATTGTATTATATTTTTAATAGTGTAGAGAGTTGACCGGGGAGTACCGGCAAATGTATATTACATATCAATAGTATTTTATTGTTTACGCCGACGTTTCGCCCCGTTTTGTAGGTCTTCATCAGGGTATCGTATCGGCTATCAGCTATCAGCTGCAGGAAGGAGCTGGTAGAATGGCCAGTAATCGAGTGAGCAGTTTATTACCTGTAATATGATATGAATATTACTTGTATGATTTCTTGATCATTTTGTTAATTATTTTTAATTATATGAATCCAGCCCCTTTATAAAATATTGGGGGGGAGGGAGGGAGGGAGGAGAAAGTACTCATCTACCCGATGCCGGTGCCTATAATTATAGGTATGTTTTGGGTAAAAATTAAATTAGAAATCCTGATTTATCATATTAAGTCTAATAATTAGTCCTAAATGGGTGGCAGCCTTAGGCATAAGACATTGCACCCCGACCATGACGTCATCTCCCCTAAAAATTTGTATTTTATTTATTTCTTATGCTGTTTTATATTACGTAACATTGCAATTGTATTTCATTCAATGTCTCTAATTTAATTGCTTTATTAATAGGCTAAAATTAATTACCCTAATACACTTTTTATTTCAAATTCCCAAAACAAGTGGGGAGCGCCCTCCTCCTGGTTGACACCCCCGGGTTTCCCTTCCCTAAGTCTGGATATGCATGAATCATTGCTGTAATGATACTGCGCTCTGTACCGTTTATCAGATTAATCTTAAATTTTTCTTCACAAAGTAATTTTAGAGATATATTATTATTTAAAAAAAAAATACGTTATAAATTAAAAGAGCTTAGTTTATAGTCCATTTAATTACATTTTCATTTGATTTATGAAATTCTTTCAGGTAGGACAAATCGTCGTTCCTCCATATACAACTCAATATCCTTTCCCATGGTACCCTGTTCTTCCTAATTGTTACCCGGCATGTGGAAATGTTATAATAATTAATAATACTAACCCTTTACCAACTCCATCCCCTCCTGCGAATCGGCAATCAACAGCTCCTCCCACTGCACCCTCTCCGACAGGTGCACCTATTCCTCCCACAGTAATTCCTACATTGCCACCTTCTTCGACAGTTGCACCTAATCCTCCCACTGCGGCACCTACAGCTGTACCTCCTCCAACAGCTGCACCCCCTCCAACAGCTGCACCTAATCCTCCCACAGCATCACCTACGGTTGCACCTCCTCCAACAGCTGCACCTCCTCCAACAGTCCCAACTATTATTCCTCCTACTGCACCACCTCCAACTGGTGCACCTATGCCACCAGTAACTGCTTCAACAGCAGCACCACCTCCTGTTACTACTATTTCTTCTCCGACTATGGTTCCAACAGCACCTCCAGCGCCAACAGGACCACCTACCGCTCCTACTACGGTAGCTCCCACAACCGCAACAACAAGACCACCCGCACCCACGCCTCCAACTGCGCCTCCATCTACTGCATCACCAACAGGACCACCCGTGACTTCATCTTCTACTCCTGCTCCTACTACTACAACAAGACCACCCGTGACTACTCCTACACCAGGTCCTCTCACTACTACAACAGCAAGACCACCCGTAACTACTCTTACAACTGCAGCTTCTACTACTACGACCACAACTAGAGCACCTGTACCTACACAACCAACATCAGCTCCAACAACGACCACAACAGCCCCGACTAGGAGACCAACTAAAAAAGTAACAGTGACAACAACTACTTGGTATATCTATCCCTCATGGTGAGTTAACGATATTCATAAAGTTTGACATGCATTTTAAAAATTAAAAATAAATAATCTTTGACCAAATTAATATTTATAAAATATGTGACTTTAGCAGATTTCACAGTATATAAGAGAGAAGTATATATAATATATATATATATATATATATATATATATATATATATATATATATATATATATATATAGTATACTCATGAAAAGCTTACAGATATAAAAAATAATAATATTTAACATATAAAGTCGCAGGATGTAATGGAGAAAGACAAAATTCTAATGACTTTTGAATTTTGTAGGTAATAATAAATGATTCTATATTATTGAATGGGAAATTTTCCGTAGATAATAAATAGAGTTTCCTGGGAAATTTATTCTGAGATTGACAAACCAAAGATTTACAGTTCACAGTTATATATATACATATATATATATATATATATATATATATATATATATATATATATATTGCTACTCTCATTACAGAAACTTTACAACTGCGAAAATATTTCTCTAATTTTCTTCTCTAGTTAATTTTTAAATTTGTTCATAGTCCATATTTTTCGATTTTTGATCTCGTTTTAGGAACCAACTTATGTCTGTATTTATCTGTATATGAACGATGGATTACATAAAAAAACTCAACCAATTAACATAGATTTATTCCAAGATTAACAAAAAGAAATCATAACTTACTCAAATCTACAAATCACAAAGTAACATAGATTTTAACTAAACACGGACAGACAAAATCATACTTAAAAAGGTTCAATTTAATTAGCGACGGTACTTGCTCACTAGACGGACAAGAACAAACTTTTAAAAATATAATACATGACTGTCAATTATACGAGAGGTATAGATCTAAATTTATTATGACTTCTGAATTATACTTCTCAACGAAAAAAAAACTGGCCAATTACAGAAATTGATTCGTTGGGTGTATTGGATGCATATTTTAATATCTTTCGAATTGAAAGTTGCTTTTTATTAGTGTTGCCCAAAATCGGTCTTGGTCTTGCACTTTGCAAGACCAAGACCAAGGCCGCCTAACTGTTGCAAGACCAAGACCAGTACTGATAAAAAAAAATCGATTTTTTGAATAAAAAATTAAGGCAAAATAGTTACTAATACTTGACAATCTTAGTTACTATATGTTAATAATTGGTATAACCAATATACTTTTGCATTTAACTCCTCTAATTTTTCATTCGGGCTTAGTAAGATTTCTCCTATCTAAAAAATTTCAATAATTTCTCTATAGTAATAAACTAATAAGTAACTGCAAGACTCTTGCGCAAGACCAAGACCATGACCAAGACTGAGTTTGCAAGAACAAGACTCGTCTCGGTGTCGCATATGGGCAACACTGTTTCTTATTGATAAGATATGAAAAAAAAATTGTTTAGTTACGTTTTTGCAAAAGTTTATATTTATAATTATAATTATATTATATATATATAAGTTTGTATATTTTTATATAACAGTCTAGTTCAAAAATGAAAAGTTTTAAGAAAGTGAAATGGCATATTTAAGGTTTGTATATACCTGAGATGTTACGGCAACTTTTTCGTCAACGGAAGTGGCACTTTATACTATCGATTTAATACATTTTTGCGATTTTCTCGAAATGACTAACGATTTTGATTAAAATTAAGCAGTTTTTAATATAATGTATAATGTCCTATAATGTCCTATAATGTCCCAATGACGTTCTCTAAAAGGGCTTAAATGGCTATTATTCAATATTAGCTTCCTCTGAAGTACCTTTACTTTTTTTTATTTGAAAAAATTAACCATTACACATTGATCTCTAATATAATAACTACTCAAAATAATAAATAGAGAATATGAAAGAATTTGATAATTAACTAAAGGAGAGGTCTTAAATACCAGTGAAGTGGCTGAGGGAGAAGCGTAGGGATCTCCTAAGCCTCCCTTTTCCCTCCACATGTGGAGGGGACAGGATTGGTTCGGAGATAACCTGGCTAATTGTAAATAATGTATATAGGTATGTTTTATCTAGGATGTTTGTTTTACTTTTATTTCTATTTTTACTTACTTATGTGTATATATATATTTTTTTTCTTTTCTCTTTTGTTCTTTTTTCTTATTCTTTTGTTATTACTTTATTTATTTATATTTTGGTATATACGGTATGAATGTACTCTCTGAACTCTATTATAAGTGTCCTTAACTGTGACAAATTGTAATATTTCTCAATAAAGTGTTTTAAAAAGTAAACTGAAGGAGAAATAAGAGATCCGAGCTCACTCGAGTTCGCCTGAAAGATTAGAACGGTCTTCCATAAGGAACATGAGCTTAATATAATATGGATTCCGACAGTATTATGTACATATACATATGCAGTTTTTATAAATGCGATCGTTGGTTATATTTAATCTTATAGATTACAGCGATATAAAAATAAAAATTTGTATATATAGGGGTACTTAAACAATTAAAAGTATCCACAATGAAATATAAATAAATATTTTTTGTGTAAAAATTATAGGGTCTATAATTTTAACTTTTACTTCCCCTTTGTCTGAAAATAATTATTTCTGCTAAGAAGAGGGTGGTTTGTGAAAGTTGTGTGATACACGCCCGGCGCCAGATTTTTACATTTATAATGAATCAATTTAAAAATAATTTGTACTGAACAACCATATAAATGTTTTAAATAGACTAGCTTTAATATTTCAACTTTTATTAAAAACTTCTTTTTAAATAATTCTAAAACATCGATGTTGTTTTTTTTGTTTTGCTTTTTTAATGACGCATTTAAACATATAAAGTCGTCAATTTATCCTTCACACAGTGTAAGTTTGTGTTAGAAATTGAATTTATATCCTTGGTGGATACAATTTTTTTTTCTATAGGATTTTTCTATAGTCGTCTTATCTTTTTATCTACATTGGTGGAATTGCTGTGGTATATATGTGTGCGATGTTGTATTGAGCTCTTGAAAATTTTTTAATATATTTTTTTTTATCTTGAGAAAATGTTTGTTATGCGATGTCTATAGTTTAATATGGTTTATTGTTGATAATTTATAAGAGTATTGTTATGAATAGGGAGAAAAAAGAAAAAAGAAAGGAAAGATATGTTATATATATATATATATATATATATATATATATATATATATATATATATATATATATATATATATATATATATATAAATATAAAAATGTAATATAATATGAATGTCCATATTAATTGATAAGTATGCTGTGTATGAAGCAACCCTATGTAGTAGGGCAGCATTACTTTTAATAAAGTATTTCTCTCTCTATTTGTATAATTTTTTTTTTTTTTTTGGTTTTCTTTTTTACACGAATTGGCCAGCAAGGACCACGCGAATATCATTTCTTGTACTTCTTCACACATTCCGCCTTCCTTTCACTCTAGTACTTTTTCATCCTCCTGGACTGTTCCTCTCTCACTTCCTTAGTCAATTTTCTCCATCCTCCGCACAAGAGTATCCACCTCTTTTAGTTGTTTTCCAAAAATCTCTCTATCCAAGCAGGTCTTATCCGTGATTTTTAGCCTTTTTTTTTTTTTTTTTTTTTTTTTTTTTTATAAAATTTGTTTTATTTTATGTTACACTAATAAAACGATATGCACACACATCAGTTAATTTATCGATATTTAGTTTATTATGTTAAGTCGCCTACTCATGTTTTTTAATTTGTAGGTGTACGAGGTGTTCTCGAATTATTACAAGAAAAAAACCTGCCAGACCCGCCGTAGTACCATCTTCTCCCAACAGGTGCGTTTTGTTGTCATGGCTTGGTCTGTAAATACTACAGAAGGTTCTGTAAATTCTGTTTAAGAACTTTCGGATGCTGAGTAATTTTATATTCAGTCAAGTCAGATAAGTTACTATTATTTTTTGTTTTGTATATAATAAAGTATATGATTGTTATTAAGCTGTGTAATGTTCATTTGAAAATCCTTTGGCGAAAACAATTTATCTATATTTATTTATTCATATTTAGAAGATTCCAAAGTCGAACCATTCTAAAATACCGGTAAACAACCAACTAGTCCACATTACGGCAATTCAGCCATCATCTGGACCACAGTCGGATATACGTGGAAGGGAGGGGGGGGGGGGGCTTTCGGGCCAAAGTCCCCCTTTCCCCGCCCCCTAAATTTGTAAAATATAACCATGTTTTATGATAAAAATTATCTCTAAATGTATTATTGCTCGTCTTATTACATTTGGTAGGATTTAAAAAAATCATTTAAATTTAAACACCATTTCAAGTAGGTACTTGGTTACTTTCTTTCTTCCGAAGTAATTATCCTAATATATACAAAAAAAAAAAAAAAAATCTTTAGGGCTGAAGCCTCCGCAAAATTAAGTCCTGGATCCGTTAGTGATTAGGAAAAAGAATGCAAGATCACAAATATCTTATACCAATTGTCTACAAAAGACGCATCAAGGGGAGGGGGGACTATAAATCACTCAAAGTTATCTAAGCACAATTTGAAAGAAATGTGAAGCAACATGACAACACAGTTTGGAAAGTTTATGTTAAATTCAAATAGTTGAACGACAGTAACCATAATAAAAAGTGATAAAAACAGAAAATATACATAAAAGCAACCAAAAATATATTTTGGGATCATACACACTAATCAAATATTTTATTAAATATAAAAGAGGTGGAGATTAACAACAGAGAATATAATCACAAACAGCTGATCCTGAAAATGAAATCTAGTTATATTTATCAAAAGTTTTAAGAGCCAACTTTTTGGAGGTGCAATGATTCGTATTGCTACTATTAGTCTTATAAAATTGAGCAACAATAAAAATTTTTCGGGCTCAAAAATAGTAATCTCATATGTATTTCCATCTGCTGAATTAAAAAATCACCATAAAAATGAAAGATTAGCTCTTGCTTTGGAGATAAAGTGACATTTCATTTTTTAGAGTCAATATTTCCAATTTGGGGGATATTTTTTTTTTTTGGGGGGGGGGAGCTGTTATAGCTGTTAAAAACAAAACACAAATGCTCTTCAGCTGTTTGTAAGTCATAGTTTCTGTCGCGGTTAGTGTGAGTTTCATATGGTTTCTGCTGTAATTAAAGCAGAATTTCTGGTTTGAAAATGCTTTTTTAGAATAAAATTCATAAAATACCACGAACATGTGTAAATATGGTGAATAATATTTGTTGTAAAATAACATTTTCCTCACAGAATCGCCTGATCTGACGCCTTTTGTTAAGACTGCCTATCAGCATTATTTCGGTATGAAATTAGGGGACTAGGACAAGTCTTGGGCTCCACATATATGTTGCAACTCATGTTCAGTTACACTGCGAGAATGGACGAGGAAGAAGAAACGATCTATGACTTTCGCTGTGCCTATGGTTTGGCGGGAGCCTACAAACCACAGATGACTGCTGTTTCTGGTTGACTCCGCCTAAAAAGGCAGGATTATCTATGAAGAAAAGAAGAACAGTTCAGTACCCTTCTTCGATCTGCTATTTTACCCATTCTGCATTCAGATAGTTAACCAGTTCCTACTCCACCCGAAAATTTTGTGTTTGAAGTAGAAAATGAAGAGAGTGTGGAACAATAAGAAGAACCAAACCAGCCTTCCACATCATGTGAACCTGATTTTGAGTGAAAAGATGTTAAACCGCACAGACTGAGTCAAGCGGAATTGAGTGATCTCATTAGAGACCTCGGCGAGTCAAAGGAAGCAGATAGAAATTCTTGGGTCTCGACTACAGCAATGGAATCTTTTCGAAAGTGATTTCAGAACCTCATAGTACAGAAAACGTCACAGGGAACTGCTTTCTTTTTTTTTCGAGAAGAAAAATAATCTTGTTGTTTGCTGCGACATTAATGGCTCGATGAAATCTTGAATTTGAACCAAGATCCAACTGAACGGAGGATATTCATAGATTCCGATAAGCTTAGTTTGAAAGCTGTGTTACTTCATAATGGTAACCTTCTTTCTTCTATTCCTGTTGGTCATGCAGATCACACGAAGGAGACATGTGCAAATAAGGACAGCCCTCTTGGATCAACTCAAATATCATGAACACAAATGGAAAACCTGTAATGATGTAAAAGTCATTGCCATACTCTTAGGGATGACACTGGGGTACAAAAAACACTGCTGCTTTTTATGCATGTGGGACATTAGAGATAGGAAATTACATTATATTAAAAGAGACTGGTCTGCAAGAAATCTTAAGCCTAGCGAGAAAAATGCCGTTGCCAAGCCTCTCGTGGACCAAATAAACTTAACTTTGATTACCTATTGCAAGCGCTTTAGCCCGTACGGCTACCCCAGCCCCTATATATATATATATATATATATATATATATATATATATATATATATATATATATATATATATATATATATATGATCAGAATCTCAAAGTACGAAACGAAAAAGAGGAAATCTATAAAAAAAGCATACCATACCTGCAAGAGAAGTATAGAGAAAAATCTGGTGAGAGAGAATATTCGGTTCGGGGAATAGGTCTTATTATCTAAATAGGTCTTATTATTGTCATACATATGAGTCGTTTGTAATTGATTGAAAGCTTAGAGCGTTTGTCTAGTATGTGCTGGAGTAGTTGGAAACGTCGAGCGGTTTCTTGTCGTTTCAGCCTTGTATTAGGATTCCATGTGAGTCATTTGTCCAGGTGGAGTCCTAGGTATCGGATTTGCTCAACTGGTATAAGTGGGGAATTGTTAAAGGGTACTGTAGGACAGGAGGTCATAGGTTTGCGACGCAGGGTAAAGGTAATTTGATGTTATATGTTGGAATTTATTTCAATTCTCCATTTTTTACACCATTCTTCAAGATTTGTGATTTGTGATTGGAGAGCTTGGGATGCAGTTGATGTATCATTATTAACAGATAGGATACATGTCTTTATCGAAGATTATGATAAAATTGCACAGGGTAACGTTAATGTAAGTATCATCAGTTAAATATAAACACATTGCAAACAAAAAAAGAGATTTCTGAAAATGATCATATAATATACGTTGTCTCCGATTTTTTTGCTAAAGAAAACGCCTGATATAGCAAATTCCAGATTTAAGGTAGCTGACGTTGTATCCATTCCTCCACTTCAAGCAAGTATTAATTGTCCTAAGATGTTTCTATGACATATTTATAATGAAAAATAAAATGTGTTTAAAGAAATTTTCTGGTAAAATAAAAATTAAAACACTGCATCTTAAATTATCAAGACAACCTTTACTGGCATGACAATCTGCTTTGTCATACTTTTTTAAAAAAGCCTTTTCAGCTAATATATCCTCGGGAAACAGACACTCGTGAAATCTGCTGCAAAAACCACACGTAAAGAGATTCTTCAACTTCTGGATGACCGTCTAGTTTTAATGTTTTCCTTGTAGAAACATCAAAATACGATTTCGACACTATAACATGAAGCAATTCCAGCAACACGTACCACTCGTCAGTCAACTATAATCTTCTTTCTTTCTAGTTCGGATAACCGTGGTTTCCGAATTACTTGGGGTTCGGATAATCGAGACCGTACTGTAATTATTAATGAAAAGACAAAACAAAAGACTATTATTTTTGATACGTGTATGGTAGTAGAATGGGACGAAAAGGGGATGAATGCAAATCATGTAATCGCCATGTGTTCGGTTTTGTCAAGAACTTGATCATGGATCCTTTCACCAATCTCTGCGGTTAGCTTACACGGATTGACAATCCAGCCCATCATTTAGACAAAAGTGAAAATAACCTCCTCCTCGCCTTAGGAAATGAGACTTGCTCTGTAACGAAGACTGGAGGCTGGTGGAGGAAGAAGCTGGGGTAGTGGGAGTAAGGGACTTTCTAGCTAGTCGAGGTTCAGTCCATAGCTCGCAGGCTCTAAGAGGTCACCAAAGTCTTGTGCTGCAGGTAACTAACTAGTCTCGTAGTGTACGTCTTTGGTTGAGGGTAACCACTGCTTATCATAAATAGCGATAAGATTAATTTAGAGAGTTGCTAGACCTTCTCTTAACCTATTCTATAGTTGAAATTTTTATTTCAGGTTTCGCCTATTTTCTAATATCCGATGTACGTTTTTATTAAAAAAAATAAATAAATAAATAAAAAGTGCTATACATTTCGAATTAAATCCTTAATAATACCTATCCGTAAAACTGTACATTTTATATAATCACGTCAAAATCTCGAACTGATTGAATGTTTCAAATTGTTTTCATTCAAGTATCGAATGTTGAAAATTACTTTTTTAATAACAATAAATAGTTATAATGCACGGTATTTACATTGCGATATCCAGCGATAATAAATGCTTAATGAATTTTATTTTTAATTAATTGAATTTATTTATTCATAACAAAATTTAATTCAATGCAATAATTTCACATTGAAAATTAAATTAAAGTTCTATCTAAGTTTTATCATGTATTATTTTAAGTGTCTCTCATCAAAAATTTTTTCATGTTAATTATTACCAAATATCAAAACGGATAATTCATACCTATCATGTAACAACTATTTTGCACACAAAATTACGTTGAAAATTCACGTTAGATGACTAAAATGATAAATTATCTCCTACTGGTGAATTTAACTATTTAATTCGTTGTTACAGTTAAACATTTATACTAAGTTATTGATATTTATATATACTAATAATATTATAGTATATAAGTAATAAAACTCTTTTATTAGTATTATTTATTACAATATCGACAGCAGAAATAATTTTTGAGGTCAGTTTACTTTACGCGTTGAAGCATCCATTAAACTTAATTCAATCCCACACGACTG